AAAAAAAAAAATCCCTAGCTTTAAGTTATCCTCCGTCTCTGCTACACCTCTGGCGATTGAAAACTCAACACTACTGTTTTTATCGTGAGTTTTTTGTTTCATCGCGAAACATTCTCCACCCTCCCGGCCACTCCTGCCTTTGGCCTTGGCCTAGGGGAGTCTGGCTCTTCTCTCCTCTCACGTCCGGGGTATTGACTTCGGTCTACCGTCACAGGGCCCTCTGTCTCCTTGGGGGTTGGTCATTTGGAGGCCCTCCTTGGCTGGCTGGCAGGTGGTGGGATCCCTTCCACTACAGTGACACTATCTCTCCCAGAACAAGGGACTACAAGAGAGACGCGGTAAAACACCTGCTTCGCTTAGGGCTCCTCTCCATGGTTGGATCGGCTAGTACCTTACTGGCACCTCCTCTCAAGCTGGCAACTTACTGCCTCAATCGTCGGATGTCCTGGAGGACACAGGGTCACTAGCATGCCTGCCACACACCTCCTCTCCTCGCTTCTTGGTTGCCGCCTTCGGGGTGGTTTCCCTTATACCCTATGCGCTTGGGGCTTCGGCTCCCTCCCCCTGGCCCTCGTCATATGGCCTAAGGGTTCCTATGATGGATTTGAGTTGTGACCATTGGCCCTTAGTGGTTCGGTGTGAGTTTTTGCCTTTAGGTGTTTCGCTCTTGGGGTTAGGCGTGTTCTTGGTTCACTGTCAGGTAGCTAGCTTTCTTTTGTCGCTTGGTGGTAGGGGTTATTGGTTCATGGTCTATGGGAAGGATTTTGGGCGGGAGTAGTTTTTTTTACCTCAGAGAGTTTTTTTAGCTCTGTCGTTCGGCCTGGTCCGGGGGGGGGCGATTTTTTAGGTATCATAGCTGGCGCTCCATATGCCTTTTTATCCCATAAACAAAAATTTAAATAAGTCAAACAAAAAAAAAAAATACTCTAGCTTTAAGTCCATCCTCTGTCTCCGCTACACCTTCAGTCATTGAAAAATATTTCCTAATTGGGAACGACTCAACACCGAGGAACTATCACCACTTTTCTTTAGCCCGGCACCCCCCTGCCGGGGGTGCAGGCTGTTTCTTTCCATCCCTCTGCCCATCGGGGCCTCCCTTCTACTCCTTCCCTTATCTGGCATCTCGCCTCTGCTAGATGGGGGTCCTCTCTACACCCTAGGGTCCTCTCTACCCCACTTTTGCTTCACCTCACTTAGCATCAGCACGATCAGCTTTGGCGGCTTGGTAATGGCTGGATGGTCAGCTGGGATGGTGGTCCTCTGGGCTATTGGGAGTAGCCTTGTCTACTTCTGTGACCCTAGTTGCAGTCTCCTACTATATTGTTTGGCCAGATCTTTACTACCTTGCCCTCTTCCTCTCCTCTCCTTCAAAATCGGCTGGCACCCTACTGCCTCAGCCTTCGGGCCCCATCATCACTGAGGAGGTAGTGCTTCAGCCCACCCCTCCCACCTCCTCTCTGCGCCAGTATCACTTGGTGCTGCTCTCACTTCTGCCACCTTCGCAGCAGCTCTACAACTCTTTCCTGGCTCTGGTGTCACTACAGATACCATCTAACCTTTTCCACAACCAGACTCCTCACAGCTGGGGTCTACCTCCTTCCTCCTTAGCAGTATTGGCTGCCCTCCTCTATCACAGGTTGCTAGCATATCTCGCCTGTCTTCCTCCCTCCATGCTTGTGGCCCACTTCTGGCCAAATGACTGGTTGGCCTACCTTGGTATTGCACTATCTCCTGAGTTGAGCTGGCCGGCCCCAACATGGCATTTCGCCAGAGTCCTATTGTGGGCCTGACAGCGGACACATTCATTCGCGGACGCCTGTAGAGGCACTTAGGGGTTTCCTAATCTATTCTCTCCTTTGTCGAGATAACACCAAAGGGTTTTCTTCCCTCTCCTGCCTTTCCTGTGGAGGACGATTGTTCCTGTACAGGATGGGATGTGTAGTTAGGCCTATACTAGAGGGTCTTGGGGGGGTTGTTTTGGTCCCTGGGGCGCGGGGGAATGCCTTTGGACTTAAGGTTTTGTTTTTGCCATAGCTAGCACTCCATGCAGGTTCTTGTACCTTAACAAAGAATATATGAGTTAAAC